TATGATCTAAAAAGCTATAAATCCATGCTAATTCTGCCATAGGAATTGTAGTTATGAAACACATGAATGGCTCATGATGATTGTCCCAGGTAGAGAGAGAAAACTCTCTAACAATGGGCTGGTGGGTTTGGTATCTCAGCTCTACAAAAGGAAAGATCACTTTTCCCAGTGCGGCTCTGAGATCTGCCTCATGTCCTTATGCTATTGCAAGGATAGGATTGAGTCACAGTGGCCCACTAGCTTCTACTTGTACATAAAATTCCATTCCCCGACTCCTCACTGCCATACCTTTACAAAGCTATCCTCCATGTCTTGAATGAAATCCCTTCTCATCTCTTTCTCTTAGAATCCCTAGCTTCCTTCAAAGCAGGACTCGGGTGCCATTTCCTGTAAAAGCCAAGTTGACTACTTCTATTTTAAATTTTCTTTTTATTTTTTGAATGAAGAACATATCTCTCTATTTGTACTTTCTTCTCCTTTTCATACAAATTGTTACTACTATGCCTGGGATGATGTTGTCCAGTTTTTCTAAACCTAAATAGTAAAAATAAAATGGATAAGGAATTCAATTCAATTCAACAAATATTTATAAATTGCCTGTTATGTACTAGATACTGTTCTAGGTACGGGTCATGTAAAGATTCACATGGAGTTAAAATTAAGTGACGGAGCAACATCTATTACACTTCAGCTGAAGTAAAAAAGGCAAGTCAGGGGAGAAATCATTAACTCGAACAAGAAACAGCAAAAATAGACTTAATTAAAAAAGAAAAATGGAAACTACAGTTTGCTAAAAAGACAATGAATTAAGATTGATAATAAACATATATGTACCAAATGGCATAACATCTAAATACTTAAAGGAAAACATAAATGAGTTACAGAGAAAAATAAAGGGTAAAATATAATATTGAGGGACTTCAACATACCTTTTTCAGATCTAGATAAATATAATTTTTAAAAAAGAAGCTAAAACATTGGGGGAGGGAGTGGGCAGTAACAAAACACTTTTGAGGAGGAACAGGATGAAAGGAGAGAGAAAATAGAATAAACAGGGAGGAATAGGATGGAGGGAAATATTGTTAGCAATAGTAACTGTGAAAAAAAATTTTTGAAGCAAGTTTCTCTGATAAAGGCGTCATTTCTCAAACTTATATAGAACTGAGTCAAATTTATAAAAGTAAGAGCCATTCCCCAGTTGCTAAGTGATCAAAAAGTATGATCAGTTTTCAAATGAAGTAATCAAAGCTATCCATAACCAAATGAAAAAATACTCTCATTACTGATTGGAGAAATGCAAATTAAAACAATTCTGAGGTGCTACCTTATACCTATTAGATTGCCTAATAGGACAGAAAAGGTAAATGACAAATGCTGGAGGGAATGTGGGAAAAATGAGACTTTAATGCATTGTTGGTAGAGTTGTGAACTGATTCAGCCATTCTGTAGAACAATTTGGAACTACACCCAAAGGGTTATAAAACCATGTATGCCCTTTGACCTAACAATACCACTACTAGGTCTGTATCCCAAAAGATTAAAAACAAAAAGGAAAAGGACTTATATATACAAAAATATTTATAGCAGCTCTTTTCTGGGGGTAAAGAATTAGAAGTTGAGGAGATACCCGTAAATTGGGGAATGGCTGAACAAGTTGTGGTATGTGATTATGATGGAATACTATTGTAGTATAAGAAATGATGAGCAGGATGCTCTCAGAAAAACCTGAAAAGCCCTGCATGGGCTGACGTAAAATGAAATGTGCTGTGTACAAAGTAGCAGCAATACTTTAAGATGGTCAGTCATGAATGATTTAGCTGTTCTCAATAATACAATGATCCAACATAACTCTGAAAGACACGATAAAAAATACTATCCATCCCCAGAGAAAGAACTGATGGTGTCTGCATACAGATTGAAGCATACTTTGTTTTCTTTCACAACATGACTTATGAATATGTTCTGTATGACTACACATACTGAATTGCTTGTCTTCTCAATGAGGGGGGTTTGGGGAGGGAGGGATAGAATTTGGAAATCAAAGTTTTAAAAATAAATGTTAAAATTGTTTTTATATGTAACTGAGGAAAAATAAAATACTAAATAAAAGCTTAAAATAAAAAAAAGGACCATGGAAACACGCACACACACACAACAACAACAACAAAAAGAAGCCAAGAATTTTAATAATTCTAATAAAGTTAGATATGATAGACCTCTGGCTATCATTGAATGTATGAAGAGGGGTATACATATTTCTCAGCTGTTAATGGCACCTTTACAAAAACTAATCATATACTAGGGCATAAAAACCTCACCACCAAATGCAGAAATGTTAAACACATCTTTTACAGACTATTGTACAATAACATTATATTCAAAAACAGGCTGGTAAAGAAATGATTAAAAGTTAACTGGAGATTAAATAACAATGCTAAAGAATGGATGGAGTGAACAATAAATTACAGAAATGATAGAAAATTTCATTAAAGATAATGATTACAGTGAGACATTATTTTTGTGATGCACCTAAAACCATCTTCTGGGGAAGATAAGTATAAGGTGTGTAAAGAAAGAGGCATTTTTTTTTTGACATGACCAATATAGCAATTTGTTTTGCTTGGCTGTATAATTTTGTTACAAGGACTTTTCTTTCTTTTCTTTGGATCCTTTTTTTTTTTTTTTCCCTTTTCTTTGTCAGTTGGGTGGAGGGGGAAATTAACTAAAAAAAGAAAATCCCTGAGAGAGAACTATCATTGTTGGAACAAGTTTTTAAAGGAGGTAGGAGGTATGGGGTTAACTAAGTGAAATGAAATTAAATAAGAATGTGTATGTATGCATACATGGTCTGATAAATACTCTAACCTATAAATCTATAGTACACAGATATACCACATATCTCTACATCTATGGAAGCTAGAAAAGGTACACAGAATAAACTTACCTTCTAATCAATAGATCTAAGAGTTTATCTTACAAATAAATAAATAATATACATTTAACTAAGTGAGCTGTTGGGTCCTCATTACTCCTCATATGGACTCTTGCAGCAGCCTCCTAATTGGTCCTCAAGATTCTCATCTCTCCAGTTCTTATTTATTCCCGCAAAGGTATTTCCCATGCACCAGTATAACTATATTCCTGGAAAGAAGCCATAGTGCTTCTCTTCTGTCTATAGTATAAAATACCAACTCTTTCTGTTGGCATTTAAATCTCCTCACATTCTGGCCTAGCTCTACCTTTCCAGGCTTGTTGCATTATTCGTAACCTCCATGTATGCTGCATTCCAGCCAGACTGGTCCACTTGCTGTTCCTCAAACATGACATTCTGTCATTTCCTTAACTCTATACAATCTGTGCCTCCCTAGACTATACGAGTCTTAGAAATCCCTGGATTCCTTCAAGGCTCAGCTCAAATGTTACCTTCTACTGGAGGATTTGCCTGATTCCCCAAATAATTAGTATCCTTCCCATCGCCAACAGTATTTTGTGTTTACTTGGTATATGTTTTGTGTCTACTTATCCATGTACACATTGTTTCCCCCAATAGAATGTAAACTTTGTGAGATTACTGTGTCATTTTTGTCTTTTTAATCCTCTAACATTGCATAGTATCTGGTAGAGAGTGGGCAATAATACATGCTTGTGGGATGAATGAAGAGAAAGATTTTTTTTAAAGGAATTCTCTATACCAAATCCCAGTGTAGGATTGAAAAATTTAGCTTCCACACATTTCACTCTCCTCTTCATTTCCTATTGCCCAAGAGATGTTTTCCTTATGATGGTCAAGTTGTTTCCCTTTTAATACAAATGATAACGTTTTCAGTAAATACTCCATTTTGCCTCTATGAAACAGAAAATTGTTACTAGCAAAAATATCTGAAAGCACCCAGGAAGGGATATTTCTGCCATCAAAGTGTTTATTTTTTTAAAATTTCTAAGTAAGAACTTGATGCTTTCCACCACTCCCTGTAAAACACAAAGCTAATGATTATCATTTGAAAAGAAATTTGAGAATGATTGGGCTAATAACCTTATGATAAGATCTTTAGGTCTTTATATACATTTTGTCAAAATTTATCCAATTTTATCATCCAGAATTTTAAAAAAACTGATCTCTTTTTAAAAATTACTTATCCCTGAAAAGCAGAACTGGTAAGCATCATATATTATTATTATTTATTACTACATTTATTATTCTTAAAGGATTATGACATTTCAAATTTGTTGGTTTTTATTTACATAAGCAAAATTTTCACCCAAAATGATGTTTTAGTAAATTAAAAATTAAATTGTTTGCTACATAATTTTAGCATTTAGTATATTCTTCATTAGTCTAATTGTTTGAGAATTGATATCATTAGTATATTACATTGGGTAACTCTATTATCAGATACATTTGATTAATCAGTACAATTCATTTCTGAACCATTTTGGCTAACAATATTTTATTGCTTCTATATTTAATATATCTATTAAAAGTTTTCAAGTATTTATTAATGACATTTTGTTTTTTCCATAATTGTATTATGCAAAGTCAATAAGGCAAATTTAAGTTCAAGTTTGAAAATTTTTATTTTAGAAGTATGAAAAAAATATTGTTGCCAACCTTACATGTGAAGAGCAGCTAGATGGTACAGTGGATAGCATGCTGGATCTAGAGTATGGAAGACCTAAGTAACTCCAGCCTCAGAGACTTACTAGTTGCATAACCCTGAACAAGTCACTTAACCTTTCTCAGCCTCAGTTTCCTCATCTGTAAAATAAGGTTAATAATAACCTCTACTTCCCAGAGTTATTGTGACAATCAAATGAGACAACGAAAAGAGCTTTGCAAAACTTACAATGCTAGATAAATTTCAGCTATTATCAGTATCATTATTATTATTATATTTCAGAAACCATTAATATTACATTTTTAGAGAATAATTAGGGTACAAAGTATCATCCATATCACAGGTAAAAAAGGTATACAAAAAATTAAAATTCATTTTACTTACTGACTCCTTCCCCATCATATGTTCTCAAGTCCTCTGGGTTGTCTAAGTTCTTAGTGTGAGTGTATTTAAGATCCAAAGCTCAAACTAATTATTAGAGTTATTGTTTATATGTCTCTTTGTTCAGCACACTTAATTGGTAGTTTATCTCTTATCGTTTTGGGAAAACTAGAGAATAGTTGAGATCAGTTTCTATTGTACGATGTATTTTTAAGCAGTTATTTGTTTATATAATGTTCTCCTGCTCCACCCCGCCATGCTTTTGTATACCAGATGTCCTTATCTTCCAGCCTTTGATGGCTTAAAAAAATTGTTGTATGTTGACTATTAAATGCTGCTGATTCTAAGGAATACATTCTCTTAAAAGTTAAGGTTTTTAAGAGCCCTATATTTAATTCTTTGTGAGTTCTAGGAATTTGTTTAACTAGAAGAAGATGAAGTGTTAATAATTTCTTAAATTCAATTCAGCAAAAATTATCAAGCTCTTATCCTGAGCAGAGCCCAGTGCTAAGTGCTAGGGAAGATACAAGTTTAGATAAGACATGGTCCCTATCCTCATGAAGACTTATAGCTGAGTAAGAAATCCTAGGATGGTAAGCTCTTGAACTAGAAGAGAATTCAGAGGCCATCTAGTTCAACACCCTCATTTTACAGATGAGGATGCCCAAGAAAAGGGGCAATGGGTGTTAAGAACTGCACAGTTATCAGACCAACTTAGTTGCTCGTACTCTAAATGTGAAAAGCTTTTTTTTTTTTTTTAATTTAGTGAGCAATAGGCAGAAATAATACTGGATGAATGGAATCATATAGATCAGAGGATTATCATAAAATCAGAATTAGAAGGGGCCTCAAAGGTCATTGAGTACAATCTGTTCATTTTACAAATAAGGAAACTGAGGGATATAGAGGTTAAGTGACTTACTCAGGGTCATACAGCTAATAGGGGCCTGTGATTGGATCTCACCTAGGGTCTTCCTGAGTTCAGTACTGCCCTATCAACTACATCATCCTACCTCTCAACAAATGAGATGATCAGATAGGAATTGCAGAAAAGGTGAAGGTTCTACCTGTTGAAGGGGGAAGGGAACAAACATTTATTAATGGGTAGAGAAAAAGACTTTACATTACAGTACATTAAAACCTGGTCCTTTCTTGTCTTTCCAGTCTTTTTGCACCTCACTCCCTTCCAGTGACCAGTGATCTTGGCCTCCTTGCTGTCACTCACAGAAGACACTCTATTTTCTTCCTCTATGTCTTTTTATTTGCCTACTATGTGCCAGACACTGTGCTAAGAACTTTACAAATATTTCATCTGATCTTCACAACAAGTACTGTTATTATTATAATTTTACAGTTGAGAAAACTGAGGCAGACAGAGGTTAAGTGGCTTGCCAAGGGTCACACTACTAGTAGGTATCTGAGGCTGGACTTGAACTCAGATATTCTGGACTTCTGGGCCTGGTCCTCCATTTGTCTCTTCATTTGCCCTATTGAAGCAAATGCAGGAATTAGTAGAGCTGATTTCTTCCTGTATCCAAAAGCAATGAAAAACATCATTTCATTGGACATTTGGTCATCTCATATTACAGTGCTCATAAGTATTCACAATGAACTATTATGAAAATAATGCAACTTATGTGCCATATGTTATGAGCATGAAAAGGTGATGAAATTCTATGAAGAATTAGGTAAGACCCCACAGGTTTAATAACATATACTTCAATACTCAGTGACTTCAGGGCAAAATATAGAAATAGGCAAAACCTATGAAAAATTTGATGGAAAATATAGTTCAGGAGTCAATAATGAGAGAGGTCAAAGACAGAAGCCTCACGCATATATCATGAATACTTCCTTTGAGAAAGGAGTCAGAAGTACAAAATAGCAACATTAAAATGAAACATTACATTTTAGCAGACAGGAAATGGATAGTTATCGATTCTGTTTTCTGTGTATAATGATCACCAATTAGTTAAGGAAAATATAAAAGAAAGAATAAAAATAAAAAAGAAATGGTGTGCAACAAAAACAACTCCGATCTGACCTATTTTAAAAAAAATATTGTTGCTAAAAATGGGAAATGGATAGAGAAAATAATATTGATTTTGCAACAATTTCATAGAGAAATTTAACTGATATACATCGACTGTCACAACAAGGGGGTCAAAAGAGCAACCACACATCTTAATTCAGCAAGCATTCAGATTTGTCAAGTAGATAGAGATAGCCACAATCAACACATTTTGAATAGAAACATGTAAAATCTTACAAAGAATGATGGATAAGATTATGAGCAGTAACAAAACAAGAAGTAGTGGATAGAAAAAATGTGTAAAGAAAACTTGGGGAAAGATTCAAGTAAGAAAAAAATCATTGTAATACCATTTAAATATGGAAAATAGGTTAAAATATAGAAGGTGGAGAAAATTTACCAAATTTACAAAGAGATGTTTATTACAAATCCTTTGTGCTATCAAGGACAATTGAGCCCTCACATTTGGACCTTACATTGAATTGCACCATAACCTGGCTCTTCTCTTTTCAGTTCTTATATGTGCTTTTGGAGCCAGTTTCTCTGGCCTTCTTGCAGTTCCTCACACAAGACACTCTATCTTCTGCTTCATGTGTTTTCACTGCCTACCCCCTATGTTCTTTCTCTTCACCTTTAACTCTTGATTTCCTTGGCTTTCTTCAGATTTCTGCTAAAATCCCATCTTCTGCAAGAAGCCTTCCTAGGTCTCCCTAATGGTAGTGGCTTTCCTCTGAGATTATCTCCAATTCATCCTGTCTAAGGATATTTCATTGCTTGCATGTTATCTTCCCCATTAGATTGTGAACTTCTGGAGGGCAGAGACCCTTTTCGTTTTTTGTTTTTTTCTTGTGTCTCCTAAGGACCTTGCACAGTGGCTGGCAGATTGTAGGCGCTTAATAAATGCCCATTGATTTGACAGTCCTGAGTGTGCTCAGAGCTGGAGTAGAAGTAACACTGAAGAAAATAAAGATGATAAAATAGTTGGGCTAGAGTAAGTTAAAACAGAGAGAGGCACTTCCTGTGGTACAGGCAATAACATGTTTAAGTATTCAGTGATCAATTCTCAAGGTATTTTAAAGAGTAAAAAAATAATCAAAGCTGTGGAAAAAATCTTAGGCCTTATTGTTACTCTCTTCCCCCCTAAAAGAAGACAGCACAACCCCTCTATACTTTACATGCTCATTTTCTCATACCTACAAAATTTTAAAGAAAGTAACATATGCATGTACTGAGGACATTTTTGATGAGGGTAACAGAAAGGAAAAGGTGGACTTTTTGCAATGGATAATCTAAAATAATCCACCTGACACAATTGACTAAAAGAAGGGAAATAGGATGAGAATCAGGATTTATATAACATCTACTATGTTCCAGGCACTGTGCTAAGTGCTTTACAAATAGATGCAGAGAACACACAATCTTTGTGCTTATCATTTGTTAACTATTAAAAAATATTTAATTCAGTAGAGAATAATGCCACCTTAAAGGCTCTTCAAGTCTTTGAAAGATGCAACAACAAATAACCTCTTTTGAGACTCTGATCATTAATAGCAAGCAGAAAGAGAGATGTATATTTGACGAAAGTGTCTGTTGCTGTTGTGCAGGGAATTCAGTACAATTCATTTTGACAAGTGATTGCCTATGGGTGGTAAAGTGATACAGTTTCTCTTGCTTGCAGATGCATCCAGTCCAGAACACTGCAGATGTTATGGATCTCCTAAATGATATCTGTAATCATCCAAGACAGTTTTTACTACCTATCCACGTAAAGCATAAGTAGAAGAAGAATGTCTAGTGCCCAGATTATGATACACAGTTGAATGGACAAACGATAAAATCTGTCCATAGCTCTGGGATAGATATTGCAATATGACAGTAATCTGGTCCCAGAGTTAATCAGGAGGAAAAGACTGGACTGGACTGCTTGTGGAAAGCTGCAAAGTTCAGTTAATGACTCCAAGATTCTTCCTGAAACAAAGGATCATGTTTTCAATACTAGTATACTTCTGGTGATGGACTGTTGCAAACTGAGGGAGAACTGAAATTGAGAATGACACAAAGGGCAATGCAGAAATTCATGGGGCAGGGGAATGAGCAGGCTAAAACACATTATAAACAAGGAATTACGGAGAAGTTGTTTAAAGGATGGCATAAAGTAAACATATGAATGAAAAAGATGAGCTGGCCACATGGAAAAAGCTAGAGAAAACTGTAGCCTCCATGTACCATAGGTATCATCATCATTTCAAGTGAAAGTGAGGAAGGATCATTGCATATAGGATGTACCTCCTGTGATGAATTTATGGAGGGACATGGACAAGAGTCTCAGAGGATGGGCAGGTGTGGATAGGTTGTGATCTACATCTTTGGAGAGAGTACACACATTGATAAGATCGTAAATTTGTTAGAGTGAAATATGTGCTCTACACTCCAGCCAAACTAGATGACTTTTTGCTCTGAAACATTCTGACCCCACACCTTTACTTACATTTTTACCTATGTCTGGAATGTCTACCCTCACATATTTAACCTGTTGTATTCCTATTATCCTTTAAAATCCATGTCAAATGCCATCTCTTCCTTCATTCTCCTCAGCTTTGGTAATTACCTTCCAACCCCCATATCTCATAAGATACTTTATGTTAGACTTCTTTAATGCTCTATTATATACTATTGAGTATGAGATCTGAGTTTGTGGTTTTCCCCAACTATACTATAAGCTATGTGAGAAATAGAGTCTTTTTTAGTTTAACTCTTTATTCCCTAGTATTTATCCCCTGGTACTTTACACACAGCAGAGAGCACTTGATAAAAGTTTTGTTAATTTATTGATTTGAAGATAGAGGTCTTTGGAGAAGATGACCTTTTAATGTTTCTTTCAGTTATTTCTTCCCATGATTTGATGATTAGCACACACCACAATTGGATGTAGAAATTATTTTTTTTTTTACTTTTGAAGAGTTACATGTTGAAATGGAAATCCAAGTATTTGAGATGGATTAATTTAGTGTCTAATACTCATTATACATTTCCTGAAA